TGGGCGCACCCCCTGCCTCGTGGGCCCCCTGACGCTCCACCGACCTCAACCCTAACTCCATATATTCTCTTTAGGGGAAAAAACTAGAGAGAAGGATTCATCGCATTTTACGATACGGAGCCGCCGCCAAGCCCTAAACTCTCTCGGGAGGGCTGGTCTGTAGTCCGTTCGGGGCTCCGGAGAGGAGAATCCATCGCCATCGTCATCATCAACCTTCCTCCATCACCAATTTCATGATGCTCACCGCCGTGCGTGAGTAATTCCATCGTAGGCTTGCTGGACGGTTATAGGTTGGATAAGATTTATCATGTAATCGAGTTAGTTTTGTTAGGGTTTGATTCCTAGTATCCACTATGTTCTAAGATTGGTGTTGCTATGACTTTGCTATGCTTAATGCTTGTCACTAGGGCCCGAGTGCCATGATTTCAGATCTGAACCTATTATGTTTTCATCAATATATGAGAGTTCTTGATCATATCTTGCAAGTTTATAGTCACCTATTTTGTGTTATGATCCGTTAACCCCGAAGTGATAATAATCGGGATACTTACCGGTGATGACCATAGTTTAAGGAGTTCATGTATTCACTATGTGTTAATGCTTTGGTCCGATACTCTATTAAAAGGAGGCCTTAATATCCCTTAGTTTCCAATAGGACCCCGCTGCCACGGGAGGGTAGGACAAAAGATGTCATGCAAGTTCTTTTCCATAAGCACGTATGAGTATATTCGGAATACATGCCTACATTACATTGATGAATTGGAGCTAGTTCTGTGTCACCCTAGGTTATGACTGTTACACGATGAAGTGCATCTGGCATAATTCTCTATCACCGATCCATTGCCTATGAGCTTTCCATATACTGTTCTTCGTTTATTTACTTTTCCGTTGTTATTGTTATCATCACTACAAAACACCAAAAATATTACTTTTGCTACCGTTACCTTTTACCACAATTACCACTGCTATCATATTACTTTGCTACTAAACACTTTGTTGCAGATATTAAATTTCCATGTGTGGTTGAATTGACAACTCAGCTGCTAATACTTGAGAATATTCTTTGGTTCCCCTTGTGTCGAATCAATAAATTTGGGTTGAATACTCTAACCTCAAAAACTGTTACGATCCTCTATACTTGTGGGTTATCACGCATATGCCGCTCGCCGTCGGCTTGCTCCTGACGGAGCCAGTGCGCCTTCCAACACTCAAGGTGGGCCGCCTCCTGCGCCGGTGTCGTGGCGTAGTGGACAGAAGGCGCGCTCACCAACTCATGGTATTGGCCCGTCCACGTGTAGGCCTCCTCCGGCCAAGTGGGTGGAGGCGGGGAGCGCTTCCGTGTCGGCTTCGGCTCCGGCTTGATCTCGACGGGCGACGGCGGTGGCGTAGGCGGGACGAAGAGCGGGGTGTGGACTGAGTCCCCCACCGCAGACAGGGCAAGGGCTTGCTCTAGCCCATCCCAGTGTGTGTCCTCCTCGAGACAGCTAGCCTCTAGCGCGTGTTGCAGAGCCTCCTCGAGGGCGGCTTGGTACTCCGCCTCCGTCTCCATTTCCTCTGGCTCTACCCGCGGGGGCGGCGGTGGAAACGGCGGCGGCGCCTACACGTCGTTGCTCCTCGTGTTCGAGGGCAAACTAAGCCTCCCAGTTGGGAGAGTCGGTGGCGTACTCGGGCATCCGTCGCTGCTCCGGCGTGAGCTGCGCGCGGCGCCTGAGCACCTCCTCTTCGTGCGCCCGCTGGGTCCGTGGAACCGCCGGCACCGGGATCCGGTGCGGATCCAGGTGCCAGTTGTGCGGCAGCGTGACATCGGGGTAGGGCTGCGGCTGCCTGTACTCCCAGTGCCACCTCGCTTGGTGCACCGGGATGTGTAGGCGTCGGCGACCTGGGTGGAAACGCGCCGGCGCCGGACGAAGAGGGGGGAGGAGCACTGGAGGACGAGGCGCCGGGGGTGCCCTTGCCGCTGCTGCTACCTAAGAGGCCCATTGCTTGCTAGGGTTTGCTGTCGCCAGTGAGGAAGCAAAGGGAATGGTAGGGGGCTAGATGTGGATGGAAGTGAGGCAGCCCCCCGCCACACGCGTGGCTAAAAAAGGACACTTCCACTAGTTGACTAGTGGGCCCGCTATCAATTATCGTCATAAATAAGACGACGAGCGGTAGTTGGCTGGCCTACAGGTGGAGCCACGACGGATGCCGAGAAGACGCGCGGCGCGTCCGCGCCGACACATTTCAGGCGCAATTTTGAACCAGAAATGGATCGGCGCGGACGCCATGCGAATGAGATTTGGGCTTGGATTGTTGCGTTGGGCCTTCATTTTTGTCCGCGTCGATCGAAACGGACGCAGACGAACAAAATGGATCCCTTCATTGGAGTTGCTCTTATCATAGGCCATTGAACGCCATAGCCACCTCTGCATTTTTTCTAAGCGCTGGGTAGGATAGCTGTCAAACGTCCTGCTGCCAAAAAACTGTCTCTTTTTCCTTTTCCCCCTTCTTATTCTCCAAGCTTCATCTTCTCTGGTACTTCTTTTCTGCAAAACATGACCTCTTTGGCCCTTTTGTTACATCATCAAGACGAACGATTGGTAGAAAATTTCTAGGCTATTAAATTTATATTTTGATGGAATGATGGGTTGTCTCTTATTAAACACTGGTTTTTAGGTTGCTAAGCTTAATTTCATATGTTAGCAATAGAGTTGCACATGTGCCGGTCGCGGTGGCGAGTAGTACAAGACTAAAATTGACTTGTCCATTTGAGTCACCCGCGAGAACTTACCGAGACCTGGTGGAGTCACTATCAGTTGCACCGCATCGATGGACCGCACTGCGCGGCTACACATGTTGCACCCTCGATCAGTTGCACTTCAATTCGATTGATCGCTTGATGCTGCACTCCAAGGTATAGGGCTTAAGTTAGCATGCTTGCATGCACCTAATCTTTCAGGCCGCTGCAGAATTGCTCACAGCTTTCGATTCAGTTAAGCGTCCTCCTGTTGCTTTCGTTACGCACTTAATTAATCTTTGCACTGTCCATAATAGGCACAGTTTGCACTAAACACGCGTTGATCAAGATCAGAATGGTATGATTTGCATCCACCCAACTAACATTTCAGGCCTAATTAACTACACAAGCTAATCCAACATTTATGCGATTAGCGTGTGGATGCAGACATACTACATGGAGTTCAAGGACGTGCACGTTTTGCCCGTTTGCGTCACCCCTGTGCCTGAAATTTGGCCACCGTTTTCCAAAAATGGATAATTTACGCGGTGCCACGGCGACGCCCCTGGTTGGTGGCGGCGGACAGACGCAGAGTGCACTCCGACAGAATCTTGGCTGGCTTTCACCGGCCAGCATCACATACATACATTTTGGCCATTACACTACAAGCTCCAATGGTCATCGTTATCATACCATGAGGAGTAGATGGTTGCAGTTGCACCGATGAGTGGCTAATGTTAGAACATCTACAACTAGACGACTCATATTCATTTCGGACAAATGAGCAGCCTGACAAGTCCCTAATCAAACAGACAGAAAAACATTGTCCAATCAAACCGGACAAACACAACTCAACGTTTGGACTGATCGACACTCATACATAACTCATATCTGGGGTGGATATGGGACAATCGGATGCGCCCACTACGTCCGACTGGCAGCAAGGGCCCGCACCAAATCGCTTGAAGATGACCCTCTCCTTATCCAATCTATCATGTTTCTCTCCTCTTTCCGGCCTCGTCCGCACAGTCACCACCGTAACTCTGGCGCCATCGATGCTCCGCCACCGTCCCTAACCCACACTGCTTGCACCGAAAACCCCAATCACACAACGCCTCCGACGACCGTGCAGCCATCGAATGCCACCCCGCTACGTCCAACTCCTCTGGACATACACCTCGCGCTATATGTGTTTGATGAAATGCCTAAACATAGTTTTTATTCTTTTGATCATTTGTGGGTCACCGATGGATTCATCGTTGAATGATGGTTATGGAAACACAGAGTTCATCGAATTGTCGGATTTGAATGACGGAGATGCTGAAATGACTATGATAATGAGGATCCAAAAAAAATTGAGAAGGAAGAGGAACATGTACTGAATTTCAAGGGTTCGATAATGGGCCAGAGAGTAATTCCCCGTGATAGGATCACTGACGCACGACTTGTACACGGACTACTTCACATTGGACCCAACATATCATGAAGGTTTCTTTCGACGTCGTTTTCGGATGAGCAATCTTTGTTCTTGCGCATAATGACTGTCGTGGAGAAGGCTAATGACAACTTTTAAGCTGAGAATAGATGCATCGACAACATCGACATCAACATGCGGACATGCAACTTCTTGATGATCGATGTCGTGGAGTATATATGGATCCATGTTGAAAATCACTGAACTACACTTTTTATGTTTCAATTATGCACTATGAACAAATTTTATGCTTGGATTATATTTGGACTATTTATTTTTATGTAAGAATAATTCGTAGTCGTGTGCGCTACTCATTGTTTGTGTGTGATGCTCAGTGTGCATGTGTTTGCATGGATATGAGTTTCAAAGGTAAGGTTACAAATGCGAACATTTGAGGACCGGGCTGACGCTTTCCGTAGTCGTGTCCGCGGTTTGCTCAGTCCGGTCGTAGATGTTGTTAATGGCGCACCGAGTCACCAACTGTGCTCAGCTCAGCTCATACGTGTCTCAAGTGTGCTTATGCTCATTACAGTATGGCATTTTTAGGTTGTGTGTTTAGCTCGTTCGGTGAATCCTGGAAGACCAACGACTAGTTTCGTCCGTCGTCCAACAAATTTCATTTGTATTATCACTTCATTTGCATAAACAACCACCAATTTCATTTGTAGTATTTTGTTCGAGCCTAGCCGTCATCTACTCATTATCACTTCACTTCATTGTTCCTACATATCTTTATTTGTAGTATTTTGTACGTGGTACTTTGCAGGAGCCCCCTGGCAGATCGGCGTGGTTTGCTTGCCTCGTCAGGCGTCACTTCCACTCCTGCGTGTCGCAGGGGAGGCAGGCTTCTTGGGCGATGGCGGTGATCTGGACGCCGGTGTCGTAGACCTCGCCGGCGTGCCACTGGCTCGGCAGGACTTCATGTTCGGCATAGACCCATGCCCCGTCGAACCCGCTGGTCACCACCGCCCTCAGCTGCAGTGGCCCCGGTGGCGCCTCGCTCGTGCTCCACGCCGGCCCGTGGTCTCGTGTCAGGGACGTCCAGCTCGACGACGAACCGACCTGCGCGACGTCGACCTCGACGATGTCGGTCTGGCCGCCCTGGTAGAGGATCGTGATGGCGAGCTCGCTGGGCGCGCGGCTCCGCTCATCCACCCGCAGCGAGAGGTTCTTGCCCTCGTACACGCACGGCACCCTGCACATTCGCGGCAGCGTTGACAATCTTGAGTTTAGCTCTTTCCAATCTCCGTGCTTCGAGACAAATAAATGAGAGGGGGCTTTGGATTACCTCTTGTACTCGACGTCGACGGCGCCGAGCTTGGCGAGCCGCCCAGCCATGCCGGGGCGGGCCATGGCAGCGAACGCCGGGCTGCTCAGCACGAGGTCGGTGTCGTTCGTCTTCGTCCTGGCGCGGTCGGTGACGACGACCTTCACGCCGGCGGTAGCGCAGAGCTCCTCGTCCTTGCACCGCACCTGGAAGCACGCGCCGCAGCCGACGCCCCGGCGAGCAGGTCGCCGTTGAGGGACGCGGCCGCCGCGCCGTACCCGCAGGAACCGGCTGCAAGACACCACAATCGAACAATCAGAATCATGCATGGGCCATGTATAGGTAGAAAGTAGAAACAGAGCATATGTATGCAGGTGTATGGATGGTACCGGCGAGGGTGAGAGACGAGGCGTAGTAGGCGGCTCTGGTGCGGTGCACGCAGCGGTCGCAGGCGGAGGTGAGCGGCGGGAGGGTGCAGAGGAAGAGGAGGAGCGGCAGCAGAAGGATGGAGCAGCGAGAGACGGCCATCGTTGTTTCTTTTCTTTTCTTTTGTTGCGGGTGGTGGATCCTTGTGCGGTTGTGCCTGACGAGTGCTTATATATACCACCACCACGACCTGCTCACACTCAGGGTCTACAGCTACAACATCGGTGATCTTGTTAACTGACTTAATCGTGATCCGTTACTTACCTTCAGGGTTCAGGCTCAACAGTATAATTAGGTCAGCTTAGAGAGCTCGAGAGATTATTATGGGAACATATCTACACAAACGAAACAAAAGATTTTTTTAAAAATTATTTTTGAGAAAAGTCCTACATATTTTAAGCATCATATGTCTATACAAACACATCCATACAGGAAAAATGAAATTACATTCAAATCCTTGAGTGCGTCGGAGTCTTCTTTCTTCTATATCCACCGGCAGTGTGCCGGAGCATAGCTCGATGTCGCCTCTAGGCCTCCGTCTCAGCAGAGTAAACTTTTTGAAACCCAGAAACTTGTAGAAGCGGTGGCCCGGAAGTCGTCGAAGCAAACGAGCAAACGCCGACGACTACGATCTGCAAAGCATCGCCACCCCGAAAAAGAAAACACTAGTAAGAGCCTGTAGAAACTCTGAGGACCACAAAAGGTGGTCGAATCCAGATGGATCCATCAAAACCTAAACTGGACAAATCTTGGTAGTCAAAAAATACGTTCCACACGCCCTCTGTCGAGGATAAGCACACAAAGGGACGGGAAAAAAGAGGGCAGATATCTTACACTCTTAAAAAGTTGATCACAATTCTCTCAACATGCAAAGTATCCACCTCAACATCCCCACTAAGCCATGCATTTAAATCTTCTCTCCCATTAAGCCATGCAAAATCTATCACATAAACGAACTTATAGATTATAATTATTTTTCTATTAGTCTATGCATGCAATGTTGCCACATCATACATGATGTAAGTCCTTCACATTTTTTGTTCTAAATTATATTTTAACAGTAATTCAAAAGATTTTATTCTATTTTAGACACTTTTTTATTGATTGTGAAGCTTATATTTGTTTACATTAGATTTAGTTATTTTTTAGCAAATATTTACATGTTTTAAAAAAAGTTACTGCAGCAATGCACGGGGCATCATCTATTTATTCCTAGACTAGAACAACACCACCACTTTGCCGTACCAGCCAAACTCGAAAGCTTTCTAAAGAAAACCTGAAAAGAAAAATACCCATGTCGTTTGCACGCACAGATGCCTCGGGAAGCCGGGTAAGACAATCTGGGTTATTGGCAGAATTAGCACCGCACCGATCGATCGCACTACGTCAATTCGATTTATCACTTGATGCTGCACGCAAGGTATTGGGCGCTTAATTTAGCATGCATGCACCTAATCTTTCAGGCCGCTGCAAAATTGCTCAGAACTTTCGAGTCAGTAAAGCGTCCTCCTGTTGCTTTCGTTACGCATTAATTAATCTTTGCGATTTCCTGAAAAGGCACAGTTTGGACTGAACACGCGTAGATCAAGATCAGAATGGTCTGATTTGCATCCACCCAATTAAAATTAGTCCTAATGAACTACTCAAGCTATTCCAACATTTATGCGATTAGCGTGTGGATGCAGACATACTACATGGAGTTCAAGGACGTGCAGTTTTGCTCGTTTGCGTCACCCCTGTGCCTGAAATTTGTCCACTGTTTTCCTAAAATGGATAATTTACGCGGTGCAACGGCGCCGCCCCTGTTTGGTGGCGGCGGACAGACATACAATGCACTCCCGAGAGAATCTTGGCTGGCATTCACTGACCAGCACCACATACATACATTTTGGCCAGTACACTACAAGCTCCAATGGCCATCGTTATCATACCGTGAAGACTGAGGAGTAGATGGTTGTAGTTGCGCTCATGAGTGGCTAATGTTAGATAATTTACAACTAGACGTCTCATATTCATTTCGGACGAACGAGCAGCCTGACGGGTCATTGACCGGACAGAAAAACGTTGTCTAATCGAACCAGACAAACACGGCTCAGCGCTCAGACCGACCCACACTCCCATATACAAAGCTCATATCTGGGACGAATATGGAAATGTCCGGACATGTTCACTACATAAGACTGGCAGCAAAGGCCCGCGCCAAATCGCTTGAAGATGATCCTCTCCTTATCCAGTCTATCCCCTTTCTCTCCTATTTCATGCCTTGTCTGCACAGTTGCCACCGTAGCTCTGCCGTCATGCTTTGCCGCCGTCCCTTACCCACAACACTTGCACCGGAGGCCCCAACCCACAACGCCTTTGACCGTGCGGCCATCGAACGACACCCCAGTATGTCCAACTCCTCTGGACATACACCTTGCGCTCTATGTGTTCGATGAAATACCCGAACAATTTTTTTATTCTTTTGGGACGCGTTTGGTTACCTGCATCGTTTTTTGCACTTTGCATACTTGTCTCAGTTGGGCCTGGTTGATCATATGCAGGCAAAAAACCAACATCCGCATGTTGATTGGTTGCCTGCATACTCTCTTCCTGCATTGTAGCAACACCTCTACGCGTTGTGTTTGGTTGCTCGCATTGGTTGTGCTCATACTAATGCATGTTGTTTGGTTGCATACACTGAATATGATTAAGAATTAACAACTACACATAACACACAATGTTACACTAGAGGTGCCTCGGCGACAGAGATGGGCGGCGGTCACGGCGCCGCGTCCGACACGACAAGCCCGGAGTCGCGGGCGAGCGATCCCATCGGCGGTGCAGTGAACTAGTTGCTAGCACCGCCGCCGCCGAGAAAGTCAGTGTGGAGTAGCGAATAGGAGGACATTGATGCAGAGGATGATGGAGAAAAAATGCAGTGTGCGCGCCATGGCGGCCTCAGTATAGTAGGACGCTAAGGAGAAGGCCGAAAAGAACGACGATGACGACCGCACCAGTGTAGTAGGATGCGAGCGAGGAGGCCGAGAGGAACGACGTTGGCGATGGCTTCAGTGTAGCAGGACATCGAAAAGGAGACCGAGGGAAACGACATGGGAGAGGTGGTTGAGAGGAACACGCCGCCGATGGCGCTAGTGCAACAACATGTGGGAGAGAACGATGATGGCGACGGCGCTAGTGTAGTAAGACACAAGCAAGGAGGCCAAGAGGATTGACGCCGGCGATGGCTTCATTGTAGCAGGACATGGAAGAGAATGTAGAGACAAACGACACCGGCGGTGGCGCTAGTGCAACGCAGGAGAGGAATTCAAGAGGAGAGACGCCGGTGGTGACACATGTGTAGCAGGACACCGGAGAGGAAACCGAGATTAAGGACTGTCATTAACACCATACATATGCGTATATACTTTTCACGAGGAAGAAGTTACATCTAATCATCTACGATGGTTGAAACAGAAAATGCGCAACACGAAGGTCGTGTAAAACTATAAGATAAAGCTATTGGTCAAAGGAAATTTCAAACGGTCGACCGTGCGCGACGAATTTGAAAAAAATCCATCCAAAATAGCTCCAAACATGAACACGAAATTAAGTATTTACGGTCAACGAAACTTTGAACCAATAGCAAAAATGGAAGAGCTTTTCTCGATTTGATGCATCGCTATGTAGATTAGAAGGGACTAATAAATGAACCAGGTTAGGAGTTAAACCAACACACCACGTGCAAACTCACATACACCTGTGCATGAGAACGAACTAGGCTGCATCCATCGAGCCACCCAAGTGCGCTCGCCTGCATCGCTCGGGTCTAGCTGAGGAAAAACGGCCAAATCGAGCATTCCCAGGGATGCAGTCTCAGAGGTGCTTTAAAGTTCGTGCTATGCTAGCCCAACAGTGAATGCGAGCAACCAAACAGGCCAAATCCTTCCCGCTGAACCTAATGCAGGTAACCAAACGCGTCCAAGATCATTTGTAGGTCACTGATGGATTCATCGTCAGATGATGGCTATGGAAACACATACTTTGATGAATTCATATACAAAGAGTTCATCGAATTGTCGGATTTGCACGACGAAGATGCTGAAATGATGATGATAATGAGCATCCTAAAAAAAATTGAGAAGGAAGAGGAACACGTATTGAACTTCAAGGGTTTGATAAAGGGCCGGAGAGTTATTCCCCATGATAGGATCGCTGACGCATGATTTGTACACAGACCACTTCACATTAGACCCAACATATCATGAAGGTTTCTTCCGACATCGCTTCCGGATGAGCAAGCTTTGTTCTTGAACATAATGACTGCCGTGGAGAAGGCTAATGACAACTTTAAGCTGAGAATAGATGCATCGACAACTCGACAACAACATGCAAACATGCAACTTTTCAATGATTTGTGGAGTATATATGGATCCACGATGAAACTCACTGAACTACGCTTTTTATGTTTCAGTTATGCACCATGAACAAATTTTATGCTTGAATTATATTTGGACAATTTATTTTTATGTAAGGATAATTCGTAGTCGCGTGCGTTACTCATTGTTTGTGTGTGATGCTCAGTGTACATATGTTTGCATGGATATGAGTTTCAAAAGTAAGGTTACAAATGTGAACATTTGAGGACCGGGCTGACGCTGCCTACAGTCGTGTCCACGTC